TAAGAAAAAGGAATACTTACTCTCACTTTATGAGACCAAGGTATTCCTGATAACTAATATTTGGCAAAGACCTAATAAGAAAAGTAAATTATCAACCAATTTTCTTTATAAAAGTACAAAAATACTTAACCAGATAGAGCAAATCAAATCAAGCACTATATAAAACAGTCTGTCACAACCAAGTGAAATTTATCAAAGGAATAAAAAATGAGTTTGATGGTTAAAAATCAGTCAGTGCAATCTATCATACCAGTAGAAAAAAAGAGAAACCACCCGACGCACCATGGCTTATGCTTGTAATCCCAGCACTTTGAGAGATTGAAGCAAGAGGATCACTTGAGGCCAGGAATTCAAGAACAGTCAGCCTATGCAACATAGTGAGGCTCCATTATCTACCAAAAAAAGTTTTTTTTAAATAGCGATAGTCCTAGCTAGTTGATAGGCTGAGGCAGAAGGATAACTTGAACCTGGAAGTTGGAGGTTACGATGAACTGTGGTCACACCACTACACTGCAGCCTGGAAAACAGTGAGACCCTGTCTCTCAAACATAAATAAGGATCCTGTTAATACATGTAAAGTATTTAACAAAACCTTTTCGTGGTAAAACTTAGCAAAGTAGGAACAGAAGATAACTTCCTCAATCTGATAAAAAAAATAGTTACAAAAAATTTAAAGAGCATTATGCTACAAGGTGAAATACTGAATGCCTTAAGGTCAGGAATAAGACAAGAATATCTGTTCTCCCTCTTCTGTTCAGCATTTTACTGGAACTTCTAATGATAACAGCAGTGCAAGGGGAAAACAGGTTAACTTGATTAGAAAGAAACAGGTCAAATTTGACTTCATTCACAAATAATATGATTTCATGTAGGAAATCCTAGGGAACCAACACCTAAAGCAATGAGCCCTAGGTGAATTCAGAAAGATCTCAGGACTGACAATCAGTATGCAAAAATCAATTGTATTTCTACATACTAGTAAAAACATTTAGAAAATGAAATTAAGATCAGTTCTGCTTAAGATGACATCAGATAGCATAAAATAATTAGAAACAAATTTAACCAAGAAACATGCACAAAAAAACTTCAGATATTGCTGGTAGAAATAAATGGAGAGATGTAGCATATTATTGGATTAGAAGATTCAGTAGTGTTAAGATCTCTTTTCTTCCCAAATTAACCTAAAGATTCAACTTTCCCAAGGGAAATCCCAGTAGGCTTTTTTTTTTGGAGACAGAGTCTCACTTTGTTGCCCTTGGTAGAGTGCCATGGCATCATAGCTCTCAGAAACCTCAAACTCTTGGGCTCAAGTGATTCTCTTGCCTCAGCCTTCCAAGTTACTGGACTACAGGCACCCACCACAAAGCCCAGCTATTTTTAGAGACCAGATCTGGTTCTTGCTCGGCTGGTCTCAAAAGCTGAGAGCTTAGAGTCTACCCACATTGGCCCTAGAGTGCTAGGATTACAGGCATGAGCCAAGCTCCCAGCCCACTAACAGGCTTTTTAATAGAAATGGACAAGCTGATTTTAAAATGGATATGTAAAAGCAGGGGATTTAAAACACCCAAATCAATCTAGAGAAACAAGACTAAAACTGGATAGCTAACACTACCTGACTTCATGACTTAACCACACACTTACACTCCATCAATCTTTTGAAATTTTTAATAATAATAATTTTTTAAATAATTATTAAATACTAAAGGAAAAAAGACTACAAAGCTATAGTAGTGATGGCATTGTGATATTGACCTATGGCTAGACAAGTAGATAAGTAGAATATGATGAAGAATCCACATTACCTCATCACTTAATTTTCAGTATTAATAACACGTCAGTTGGTGGGGAAAGAAAAATATTTTCAGCAATGACACTGGAGCAACTGGATATACATAGAAAGAAAAATTAGTTATAAATAACCCCTGTTTCACACCATATATAAAAATGCATTTGAGATACATTATAAATTTAAACATAAAAGATAAAACCCGGTGGCATCTATGGCTCAGTGAGTAGGGCGCCGGCCCCATATACTGAGAGTGGCGAGTTTGAACCCCACGTGGCCAAACTGCAACAAAAAAATAGCCAGGCGTTGTGGTGGGGACCTATAGTCGCAGCTGCTCAGGAGTCTGAGGCAAGAGAATCACCTAAGCCCAAGAGCTGGAGGTTGCTGTGAGCTATGATGCCACAGCACTCTACCGAAGGCAACAAAATAAAGACTCTGTCTCTAAAAAAAAAAAAAATAAAACCATTAAGCTTCTTGTACAAAAAAGAAAAAAGAAATAAAATATCTTTAGGATCTAGAGTAGGTAGAATTTCTTAGGACAATGAATAGAAAACCATAAAAGAAAAAAATGATAGGTTAGCCTTCCATATTAAAAAGTTCTGCTTATTCAAAGGTACCATTAAGAAAATGAACAGGCAAGCTATAGATGGGCAAAAAGATTTTCCAAACAGTTTTCTGACAAAGGTCTTGTGTTCAGAGTATGTAAAGAACTCACATAACTTAATAATTGTTTTATAAAAAAAGAAATTTTTAAGCCAGACACAGTGGCTTACTTCTGTAATCCATCACTCTGGGAGGCCAACATAGTAAGGGGATTTCTTGAGGCCAGGAGTTTAAGACCAGCCTGAGTAAGAGCTACAAAAAATAGAAAAACTAGCCTCGCATAGTGGCACACCTGTAGTCCCAACTACTCAGGAACCTTAGGCATTTAAGCCAGCAAGTTTGAGATTGAAGTGAGCTATAATGATGCCACTGCACTCTAGCCTGGGCCATAGAATGAGACCCCCCCACCCCAAAAAAAGAAAAGGGAAAAGAAATTATTATTGGGCAGAAGACTACAGCAGGCACCTCACAAGAGAAATTACACAAACAGGTGATAGGCACTTGAAGAAGGTGCTCCAGAGGAGTCATCAGGGAAATGCCTGCTGCCACACTTTCCCAGCAGAATGTCTGATCACACTAAACGTTGGTGAGAATATGAGGGACCAGAATTGACTGTGGTAAAAAGTTTGACAGTTTCTCATAAAGTAAAACAGACCAACCTACCTCTTACTCTCCCAAATATTTACCCAAGAGAAAGTAAAACCCATGTCCACAAAAATGAGATAAGAATGTTGGTGACATCTTGAGTCATAGTAGCCAAAAACTGAAGACATGCAAACATCCATCAACAGGTGAATGGATAGGCTTGGGGCCCATAGCACAGTGGTTACAGTGCCAGCCACATATACTGAGGGAGGCGGGTTCGAACTCAGCCGGGCCAGCTAAACAACTGCAAAAAAAAAAAAAACAAAGCCAGTGTTGTAGTGGGCACCTGTAGTCCCAATTACTTGGGAGGCTAAGGCAAGAGAATCACTTAAGCCCAAGAGTTGGAGGTTGCTGTGAGCTGTGACCCAATGGCACTCTACCAAGGGCAGCACTCTTGTCTCAAAAACAAGGTGGATTGGCTCGGCGCCTATAGCTCAACCGGCTAAGGCGCCAGCCACGTACACCTAAGGTGGCGGGTTCGAATCCCCAGCCCGGACCCGCCAAACAACAATGATGGCTGCAACCAAAAAAAATAGCCGGGCGTTGTGGCGGGCGCCTGTGGTCCCAGCTACTTGGGAGGCGGAGGCAGGAGACTCGCTTGAGCCCAGGAGTTGGAGGTTGCTGTGAGCTGTAATGCCACGGCACTCTGCCCAGGGGGACAGCTTGAGGCTCTGTCTCAAAAAAAAAAAAAAAAGGTGGATGGATAAATACTGGTATATTCATAAAGTGAAATAAAATTCAGCTATAAATAGGAACAAACTACTGATGTGCAAACATGGGTAAATCTAAGGACCATTATTCTGAGTGAATGAACAATGCAAAAGAATACATAGTACTTAATTCCATTTATTTGAATTTCTGAACTAGATGAAACTGATTTAGGTGGGGGGAAAAACTAGAACTGCATTTGTGGGAATGCAAGAAGAAAGTACTAAGTGGGAAGAGACACAGAGAAACTGTCAAAATAGGTGGTGCCTGTAGCTCAGAGGGTAGGGCACTGGCCACATGTATCAGGGCTGGTGAGTTCGAACCTGGCCCAGACCAGCTAAACAACAATGACAACCATAACAAAAAAAAAAATGGCTGGGCATTGTGGCCAGAGCCTGTGGTCCCAGTTCCTTGGGAGGCTGGGGCAAGAGAATCACTTAAGCCCAAGAATTTGAGGTTGCTATAAACTGAGATGCCACAGCACTCTACCAAGGGTGACATAATGAGACACTGTCTCAAAAAAAAAGAAAAGAAAAGAAAGGAAGGAAGAAACTATCAAAATTGTATGGCTAAGATGTCCACATTCCAGTGTAAAGAAATGGCCCAGAAAAAAAGTAGGCAGAGATTTGTCTCCTGATTGAGTTGAATCTATAGATTGGGATTTAGCATGCATTTGATTCTTTTGAAATTCTTATTTTTTTTAATTTGCTTTCCATGTGAGGATTGATACAAATAACTCTGAAAGGTAGGTAGGTTTTTTTTTAATGTACTCAATTTCAAGGTACTATGTACAATGTTTTAATTAGTAGAAATGGAAGTATTTAAATTATTTTAATGTTTTATAAATGCATAAAGGGAAAGAAAGAAAATATACATAATATGTAACTTTTAAAGACCTATATCCTTTAAAATGTGGCCATAAATCTTCAGTGATATAAAAAATATACAAATAAAAATTCTCTTGAAAGAACAGGATAATCATGTTTTTATACACTGCTACCTTTAGAACATATCTATTAAGTAAGCCAGCTTTCTAAGTAGAAAAGTATAATAATAATGTTAATATTTCATTATCTGTTTTCTCCTTTGATTTTACATAGCCTAAGAAAAAATTTAATATCAGGAGTTATGATGTAGAAAGAATTTAAATTAATATTTGACAAATAACTGGTATATATTTTATAATAATTTAGCATCTTAGGGTTTTTTGAAAACTTCAGTAGGCACAAAAGTAAACTCATATTTGTAATCTTTTTAGCTGCAGAAAATCATAAGTAAACAAGATGACTTAATGACAGTGAAAATCAATGAAACAGAGTATCAGGTATGTGCAAATAAACTAAATATTTCCAAACAGTTGATATTTATAATAGTTACGCTATTCTGTTTGTTCTCATATTCCCAGATAGTTGTCAATAGATTTATCAGTAACTTTTTTAAAACACTCATATCCCTCATTAACAATTTTTCTATCAACAACAGA